AGAAGGCTCAAAATCTATGCATTATAATTGGAAGTCAGGAAATAGATTTGAGCCTGTGTAGATGATTTATTAACAGGGACGTGGTGGCTCAGTGGCTAAGATGTTGAGCGTGTCGATCAGAAAGGTTGGCAGTTCAGTGGTTCGAATCCCTAATGCTGCATAACGGAGTGAACTCCTGTTACTTGCCAGCCTAGCAATTCGAAAGCATGTAAAAATGCAAGTAGAAAAATAGGAACCACCTTTGGTGGGAAGCTAACAGCATTCTGCGTGCCTTCTGCATTTAGGCATGGCGGCCACATGACCATGGAGATGTCTTCAGACAGCACTGGCTCTTTGGCTTTGAAACTGAGATAAGCACCACCCCTTAGAGTCAGGAACGACTAGCACATGTGTGCGAGGGGAACCTTTACCTGGTAAAACCTAGATGATTTATTAGGAATGGGTTTAGCCATTCTGCCAGTTATGAACAAAATTATTTGAATAAACGAGCGTAAGTCCTGGATGACTATACTTCAGGGTATCAACACTGAGATAGAATAATCAGCAGTCTGACTCATTAAAAGTTTATTCATCCATTGCTTTCCATTTTCAAGAAAAAAAAGTGGACTTAAAATTCTCTTTTGACAACTCCATTCTACTGAGAACAGCTCGGAGAAATCGATGACTTTGGTTAAAAACTGTTCAAAACAGGTTTCGTGCTATGGCATGAAAACCTGAATCCATTATTCCAAGATAATCACAATACATTTTCAAAGAGGATGCTAATTTGATTAATTTTACTTAAATTGTGTTCCTTTGGTATAGTGAGGCACATACAATTTCCCATTCAAAATGACATTACTATGTCTTAAACGTACTGATTTTTTGCGCTGTTTAAAACTATCATCTAACAAAAATGTCCTCCATTCCCAGAGTGGTGACCAAGTTCTACCAGCATATTCTAGCTTTAGTATTTGCTATTGATGAGATCAATTATAATCCCAAGATTTTACCCAATGCTACTCTCGGATTCCACGTCTTTGACAGTTACTCTGATTCAAAGATGACTTACCGCACCGTTTTGGACCTGCTCTTCACTTCCCAAGTGTTCGTGCCAAACTACAAATGTGGCAGTCAGAAAAACGCAATAGGAATAATTGGGGGATTTGGTTCCGATACAACCTCACGCATGGCAGATATCTTGCACCTTTATAAGATTCCACAGGTAATATATGAGAAGTTCTCCATTTTTATTAATCTTTCACCTTCATCAACACCACCACTATAATGATCCTTTAGGTGAGAGGGACATGATAAGGGGAAAACAAAAAGTGCTGAATATCATATTCATAAATGTTTGCACTAGATTCAGATGATTTAGATTGCACCTGACTAATTTGACTATTTAGGAGCCAGTTTGTTTTAAGGATTAAACCCCAGGCTGGAAACCTAATGCCAGGATTTCTAATCCTGTCTTGAAATGAAGCTAGTTGGATTACCTTGGGCCAGTCACTCTCAACCCTAAGAAGAAATGTAAATGTAAAGGTTCCCCTCGCACATATGTGCTAGTCATTCCTGACTCTAGGGGGCAGTGCTCATCTCTGTTTCAAAGCCAAGGAGCCAGCACTGTCCAAAGATGTCTTCATGGTCATGTGGCTGCCATGACTATATGCCAAAGGCACATGGAGAACTGTTACCTTCCCACCAAGGTGGTCCCTATTTTTCTACTTGTATTTTTTAATTTTATTTATTTATTTATTTATATGTATGTATATGTGTATATGCTAGCTGACGAGAGCTAAATAGCTTGAAATAGATCTATACTAGTCTCCCTTTATTTATTTATCAG